AGTACAAGTTGGAATTGAATGCAATTAAAACTAAATTTATGATAGTCTTGCGCAATCGAGTAAATGAAAACGTATCTGTTGTAATTCATGATGAGGCTATCGATCGCGTTTGAGAGATTAAATATCTTGGCGTGATTATTGATGACAACCTTAAGTTCAACTCTCACTTTGACAATATCATAAAAAAAAAATTCCATGAAGTATGGAATTCTATGTCGATTTAAAAACGATTCAACTATTGCCAGTAAAATACAGCTATACAAATCAATCATCTCTCCTCATATAGACTTTTGCACTTCCATTTCTTTTCTGGCCAATGAAACACAAATATCGAGACTATATCGCTTGCAGTATAAAATCATGTGTTTGATTTTAAGGCGTATTAGAATCACTTCCTCAACTTTGATGCTAGACGCCTTACAATGGTTATCGGTGAAGCAAAGAATTTTATATTTGATTGGCGTTCATTTTTAAAGTAGTTAACGGTTTGCTGCCTCGATATTTGTGTGATCGAATTGAAAGAGGAAGTTACTTTCATAGAAATAATACTAGAAACACGCTTGAAATTAGAACACCACATTTCTTGACTTGTGCTTCTCAAAATTCATTATATGTTAAAGGAAAAGATGTTTGTCAATTCGATGCCTAGACATATCAAACGTTCAGCAACAACAGAATTTTAGAGACACTGCATTTCACACATTTGCACAACTGTTTTTTTTTAACAGTTATCCAGTGATTTTTTTAATTAATTGACAAATTATGTAGGGAAAATGGATGTAATGTCGGTCTAAATGCCCCTTTTTTGGGCCCATACATAAATTCAGCAATCGACTAAATTTTCAATAGCGACCAAAAATATCCAATAGTACCTTCCCAATGACGCGTTTATCTAGATAAAATTGATAAAAAGCAGATTTTTAGCGATGTGCCCATTCCTATATCCATAGGCCAACATAAGAGCCATTTCTCTTATCTTGACGAAGTTTGTAACGGAGTATTTTGTATGGAAAGTCATAATGACTTTTTAATCATTACTATTGAGCAGGAGGGATTTGTAATATTTTATTTCATAAAAAAAAAATAATGTGAGTAGTCTACAAAGGTTTGAGCCTCACGCGCGTATTACGGATATAGAGGACTGAATTTAACATTTGATAAGCATCAGATTGCAGGGTTGCTAGTGTATTAGAATGCTTTTATGATTTTTCATGAACTCTTAATCGATGAGAATGCTTGTGAATATTTGAAATGGGCAAAAAGGTTAACCAAAAGGTGAACGCCTAAGCCTTTTCACATTTACATCGCTGTGAAAGAACTGCAATTTGACGAGGGAATGTATATCTGTGATTGTAACCAGTTCGTTTTTTGATTGCTAATCTGGTTAAGATGTCATACTTAAATATTTTAAAGGTAAATCGTCCACCTCAAACCTTTGTAGGGGTAAGAGGTGCGACAATCATCATCAGCATCATGTACAATCAGGAAATACTTGCTTTACATTTGCAGATGGCTAGTGTGTATATCTATATTAATGATGATGATTGTAGAATATTTCAAAAATAAGAAGAAGCTGAATTAAATGACAGTGTCTTGAGCCTTGAAGTGAAACGTCGATTGGTTGCGATTCATTGTATATTGAGAAACGCGTAGTCCAATAGAGTAATCCTGTAACCGTTCGTGAAGAACGCTTGAGGCTCGAATGAAACTCGATGGCTTAAGCGCCACTCTCTTTACGAGAGACCACCGGTCATGTTTGCTTTGCCCGACTTAGAGACTTATCCTCAGAGGAACACTTGAACGGTATTATTTAAAAACCCTTCCTCAATGAAATTCAAAACTTATGACGGAAACTAATATTTATCGAAAGAAAACATTTATCCGATCCATTTACCATCAGGGAAACCCGCAATCTCAAAGATGTTCACAAATTATAAGCTAGAACTAATATGTCTGATGCGAATCCATGACGAGCCTATGAACTCCATGTAGAGCGAGCCAGCTAAAAAAGCGTGACGGAAAATTAAGTAACAGACCGAAAAACTTAAAATTTCAATCTACATGCACATCATTCTTCAACATTTATTCGGGTAGGACGAAACTCGGTTCAAAAAAGCAAATTATTCTTGCCCATGAAAAAAGTACGTACATACCTGCGCAGGTTTTTTTTTTTGCGTTGCAATGATGGCGACGGACGAAACGGTGATGGTGACTGATGGAGTGGCAATGGCGGCCGGTGACCTTACCAAGGTCCTGGCGATGGACTGTTGCCCTTCCGACGACATGTGATGATGGTGGCGGTCTCGGAATGGTGCCGATCTAGCTTCGGAAATGGCGTGCAGCGACGAAAGGTAACCCGCGTGCAGTATGGCCGAAATTAGATGTGCGCAGGTAGTGGCGGCTGGACGGAAGGCTTCCGATTTACTTTCGAGAGAGCTGAGCATCGACGGAGTCGAGCTTTTCCCGGAAGATTCGCTCCGCTGAGGAGAGAGACCAACGTACCGTCACACGGCTTCGCGTACTATGTTTCAGCTATGACCGCCCGAGATGCAATGAAATCTCCCCCCTCTTTGGTTAAAATCCGAACCGAGGTACGCAATTGGCTGGGGAATATTTCGCTAAATCGAACTAGCGACTTCACGACACTCCGTTTAACTACCTACAAAAGGCGGGCCATCGCAATGCATGCCAGAATCCAAAGGACAGAAATGGTGACCAAGTTGACGCCACCAGAAACCAGACGGTCCGGCGACGATGGATGCCAAACTCGCCGAAAAATTCCAGCCCATACAAAAAAAGCCCGTTGAACGAGCTTTTTAAACGGGAACTACTTGCTTCAGGCAAGAAAAATCATTATCAGTTTTGATCGAATTTCACTGAGTTCACACTTGACTGACGAACTTGAAAACCACGTCAAACACTATTGCTCTCCATCCAATTTGTTAGCGAAATGCCAGAGACTAGAATTTCTTTTCCGAAGAAACCACGGAATTTCTTAAAGATAAAAGGATCGGATCTGGTGCGAAAAATCAATGTTCGGCTTCGCCATTTTACTCAGGTGTTCATTTGAATTCTATATCTTTCACGTATTAACCAAGCTGTAAAGGAAAAATACATCTGCTAACTTGATATAAATGCTTCATATCTACAAAGCCCACTTTTATGTTGCCATAAAAATCCCGACAAATGTACGTATCACGAAGCATTTTGCTAAATTGCATTGGAAATAAATCATGCTAAACAATCCCGACAAGTGCACGTAGCCAAGACACTTTTGTTATTTTGAATTTGGAAACGAATCACTCCTTTTTTTATTACATTGAAATTCTTAATTAAATATGGGATTCAATTACTAACCATAGTTATTCCAAACTAGACTTAAAATTTAAACGAAATAAACGAACGACGTTACAATCCAAGACTGTAAATCTCTGAGACGCGACAGCTAGAATAGGTTTATACATTACAGTAGGGATGAATTTATCTTCACTTTTGTTTAGTACTTCATTAACCATGAATGTTACGTTCATTTAGAATTTTGGTTAAAATCTATCAAATGGATTGTTCTTCATCATTCATACGTTTCCAGTCGACTATATTTCCTGTTTTGAATCTAATTTCCGTCCTACTAAGCATAACCCACACTTAACCTTTCGTTTTTGAAAGGATAGGAACTCGAAAATGGAGTGATTCTACTTTCAAATTTGTTTACTTTTCTATACGTACTGTTGGATTTGATAAAGAGTCACAAATTATTGAGATATTGTAAAAAAATTAACCCTGCTTCTTGATTTAAAATTCGTAATACGAGTTTCAATTCCGTCTTCACGCATTGAAATGCCATTGATATTTCTGGGTTTTTCTTCGTTCTACGAATGAAGACAGAAAAAATTGGTTTGCTAGGAGCACTTCTTCTGTTTTGAGAACAATGAGTTTAAACATTCATACAACGCACTCGTTTAAGCTTTGTGTTGTAGCTTATGACCTAACGCATCGAAATAAACGCAATGTATTATTGATTTGTGTACGGTGAAATCATGGATATTATTGATGATTTCTGTTCGATAGAACGGATGGCCAATTACGACGAAGTAGCGCAATACCCTATGTAACTCAATGTAATAACTTGTGTTTTTCAATCAGATTATTGAATTCAAAACATCCAAGCATCCTGAAATCTGGGCTTAATTAAATCGTTCCTGAAAATAAAATGAAGATTATATTTCTATGTCCACCAATGCATGAAGTTGTATACTGTGTGACAAACACAAAGATACTCTATGTCTACGGAAGCCGAGAGAATTTCCGACCCGAATGAATTTTCTAGACCGTATCGCGAATTCAACTCGCCGCCTCCAGCTTGGTAGAACCATGCTTTAGCTGACACGGTTACCTGAGGCTCTCACAGAGGATACAAGTCTTTAAAAAATTTAACTCTCTCGCAATCGATACGATACATCTCAACTCACTTCGATCTTTCCATTGTGTACTTAACACTGGCTCCTCCAATTTCCTGGAGCAAACAGGAATGTTAAAGCAAATACTAAAATAATGGATCTGGATGTCTAAAATGTATCCAGATAATCCATCGCATCGATTGATTTCTACAATTGCGAAAATTGAAAATTGAACATCTCGAACCCCATTTTGCTCGATCCACTCTTCGGAAGAATAACTTTCCAGCTCAAGTTTGAAAGAGCACAAGCATAATGTAGAACTGCCAAAGGGTTATTTCCAAAGTCAGACACAGTCCGTTCGGTTTGTGTTATCCGATCCTTCCAGAGTGGCTACAACGGAGTAGGTGTTCGAAGGAAATGTTTCCTAAGAAAACATTTACTTTTGCCTTGTTCCGTGGGAGGAAACTTTTCTGATTCTCATGAAACATGAAAGCTTAAGGGTCCGTTTCTATTTTGGGAAAAATTTATTTACAATGGCCAGAAAGTGATCTGCAAAAATCAGAAGCCAGTTTAATTACAATATTTCATTTTTTTTTCTTACAGGGGCCGACCTCAACATTTGCTGGAGGATATGCCTGATTCGGCTTCCGTCAGTGAGTCCTTCCCACCGGTGGTGGGGGACGATGAACCCAGCGTTATAGTGCAACTCTCGAACCGAGTGCAGGATGGAACCAGGTGCCGACCCGGAAGTTTGGACATGTGCATCCAGGGCAAGTGTCAGGTAAGTGAATGCTAACAAAACGAACAAATTTCTCGTGTTGGAGTGGTGTTTTGGTAAATGACTTACAGTATGGACCAGATTAATTTTATATCGTCTTGAACAAAGGGTCCTTTCTGGGAAATCATGAATGTCGAGAGTTTTTCTTGATTCGCGAGATTTCCAGAAGCTTGGAGTTTAACAATCTGGATGCAGGATTTAAAAACCGAAAAATGCAGGAGTGATATTTATTTCAAACTATGCATGAGTGTCGAAAAAACACAGAAAACTCCGTGATATACCGTTATTTTGAACAGATCCCACTTCGAAGCTTTGCAGCCTATATGATTTATTTCAGGGTGTTGAGATGCTACGTTATTGTCGTCTCAAGGTAGTTTGGGCTTTTTGTTGTCAAAAGTATGCCATCAGCTTCTCACAAGGGCCTAAGAACAAATAAAAACGACTCATGATGAAATGGATAAGACCCAGCATCAATCTCTGGATAACTCATTGGATTCAAAAGTCATTTAAAAACAAGCCTTCTCTCTGTGTGTTAATCAATGTCCTGACGCCCGGTTTGAGAACTGTATGTACTGCTCACAAATCGACCAAGGCAACGTAGCGGATAGAGAGATTTTTTCTCAAAATTCCTCGATGTTTTGCTCCAAAATGAGATTATCACCCTTCGATAAAAGCATACATGAACTTTATTTCATGCTTTTTTAAAGGAGGTACATAGTGAACAAGCATAATGAGCATTATGTGCTTTTGCCTTGGATTTCTTATGGTTCGAAACAAAATATTTGATCATTCGGCTTGTATTTGCTGTTTTTTTTTAAATTTAAGTAGTAGTATCTGAAGGAGGCTTCAGAAACCAGTTTCCTACCTAGATCCTTCCAATTGAAAGTGTTACCTATTAACCTCGAGCCCGCCACGAGTAATTGGTACCCAATACTAACCTAGAAATACTTAGTTGAAGATGCTAATTTCAAATAACAGACTGTAGTGGTAATTTTTATACGATAGATGGAGTAGATGAAAGCATAGAGTTGATAGTTCCGTTAGAGTACGGCAGTGTGAAGATTGTATATAGATATTAGACAAGCGAGCTAGGACAACTTTTAAGGAAGGTACAAATCGGTTTTTTCATCTCTCTTTACCAAACTCCCCCTTTGGAGAGGGATGGTGAGGGGTGTCCCCCCCCCCCCGCCACCACTGGCAAAACGAGATGAAAACCGACCCGCTCATGTACCAACTGTGTGTTTGAAACAGTTCTACCGATTTTTTACCGCACTTCAGTTGTTATTTGAAGGAAGGCATCCAGTCGTAGGTTTGGAAATTGCAACTATTGTTTACCCCATTTGTACCTTCCTTAAAAGTTGTCCTAGCTCGCTTGTCTAATATCTATATACAATCTTCACACTGCCGTACTCTAACGGAACTATCAACTCTATGCTTTCATCTACTCCATCTATCGTATAAAAATTACCACTACAGTCTGTTATTTGTAATTAGCATCTTCAACTATGTAAATCGTTGACTTCACGTAGAAGTAATACTAAAAACATATAGTCAAACTAGAAATACTGCTATTTAAAATGTAAATCAAACATTACTGATTGTGGCTCCGCAAAGTGTCACACACGACTGAACCTAGTAAATAAACGAACTAGTTAAAAAAAAGATGGAACCTAGTGCCAAAAAGGCAGTGAAAATTCCTTCTGGTTTTGCTTGAGGATTAGCCCTTTATTTATCAGTGCTTTGGAAAAGTACGATAAATTTTGTCAAATTGTGCCACCAGTCTGAAAGATTACTTTTTAGAAACATTTTCCATGAACAGTAAGCTTGATTTTGAATTGAGTAATGATAATTCCACGGTTCCAGGATCCAAAATTTTTAATCAGCAGATGTGTTACTTCGCAATTAAGTTGTCATAAGAATTTATAAATTAAAACGCAAATGAACTTAAAAAACATGCATTCTTCATTATTTATTTATCAGACCATCGGAAAATTGCTTAGATGGAATATTCAACCTCTAGGATATAATTCGTTTGGTTTGGATCTTATCTGGAGAAACTCTCACCTAAGGGATGATCGAGTTTGCGATAGTATGTGTAATAGGTACGCGAAAAGCGTGACTTTGTTGGTTGGGACGGAGGGGGGGGGGGGGCGTGCACAAATCGAAAAACTTGTGGATGTTATATTTGTATCGCTTCTAAACCTCAAATCCCCGAATATCTCGCACACTATGGGGACGATTGATCACATAAGTATGCAACCTAAATACGTAGCGTCATTCGTTCGTGGTACACGAATTCCGCAATTTCATAAAGCGCACAACGGAGAAACGAGGGAAAGCGTGACGGATTTTGTAATCTCTTGCTGCATATTGTGAAGTCCTACTTGGAAGCATTTATGACCATTCGATCTTTATTTTTATTTTATTTTTTCAATTTCGTCACCAGCTCCTCTTTGAAGTGCACAAAGCAGTAACCATAGTAATGAGTACGATTGACAAAACTCAACAGTGCTGCCGATTTGTATTATATTGTTTGTGTCATAATTGTCAACGAGTGCCCTACGTGTCGAACAGTGTGCCATACTGGGCACAGCACACTTTCAACTCGCCACCATTTCTACCCCGATGAATTTTATCAGCTTTTCATCAATGTGTACTGTTGTTTACTTTTGCTCAACAAGTTTGTGTGTGCAAAGCAGGGTGCCTTCCATTCATTTGGGCGAAAAACATGTTTTATGAAATTATGGAATAATAAGATATTATCATAATATTTTGTATGTGTAAGTTACAAGAAAAGACTGTAAAGTTTATGTTTGACACACAAAACATGCAACTTTAGCTTTAACAGAGTCACAATAAGCGATTTTCTGATCGCCTTTTCGCGAAGAATGAAGAGCAAAGAGTGGGTGAGATAAATGACAAAATCGCTTATTGCGACGCAAATGTACCAACATTTTCAGGAATTATGCGTCAGACACAAACTTCACAATATTTTCTTGTTGCTTACATAAACAAAATATTATCATATAATTTTATTATTCCATAATTGCATAAAACATTATCTTAGCCAAAATGAATGGAAGGCACCCTGGTGCAAAGTGCATTTTTTTTTTTAAATAAGATCATCACAATGCGAGACATTTCCCCGAAAAACGTAAACAGATCGTGCACAAATGGTGCACTATTCCCAACCTATCAATGAAGAAGTTGGCGAAAATGGAGAAAGTAAGTATCGGAGCAGTCCAAACCAGCCATTCGGAAGTTACCTTCGAGGATTCACCGTGAACCGGGACCGATGAACCGAAAGCTGAACAGGAAGCTTTCGCCAATAAGAAAAGTGCCTCTGTTCGAGATTTGGCCAAAAAATTTAGAACATCGAAGAGTTTGTCCAACGTGCCAAAGCAAGAAACAGGCTGAAAACGTTCAAGAAGTAAAAGAATCTGAAACGGAGTCAGAAACAAGCCGCATCCAGTCTTCAAGGTGCAGCATAACACTGATGTGCAAGCAGGCTTTTGCACTTACCTCACTCACCTCACATTCACTCTATGTTCATGCATGCACTCAGGCAAGTGAACTTGCACCCCAGCAGGAGCGCAATGTTTACGTTCGAACATCGCTTGCTTCAGCGTTGGAAAGAATGGATGATATTAAAAAGAATTATACACGCTAACTTGAAAGTACTCATTAATGAGTAAAAAAAGACCCATTTTGAAGAAAAGTGGCTTAACTCATTAATGATTAAACAATTTTACCCATTAATGAGTATCTGTTACCCATTAATGATTAACAATTACTCATTAATGGGTAACAGATACTCATTAATGGGTAAAACATTTACTCATTTAATGAGTTAAGCCACTTTTCTTCAAAATGGGTATTTTTCAACCATTAATGGGTACTTTCAAGTTAGCGTGTAAAACGGAATAATTCAAGCTCGAACCATGAACTTTGAGTGAATCAGACTGGTATGTTCACCTCTCGTCTGTTATTACTCTGAAAGATGTGTAGGCTAAAGGTGTATAAGAAGTGTTCATCGATTTCGTCTGCCCTTTCTGTTGCAACATAGCAAGCCTCAATGTTCACACTTGCATACAGGTACGAAGTATCACGTGCGATGTGCAGAGTACACCTGAGTTCGATAGGTAACATACGCGTTCAATGAACGTGCACTGAAGAAATTGAAACTCAAGCTCAACGCCGTCTATGTTTCGTGAAGACTGGCCGCATCGGTCAAACCGAGGGCTCGGAAGCTATATGATAGCCTGCTGTGTGGAAAATTGGCGTGTGTTATCATGGACGATGAAACATACGTCAAATTTGACCACCAGACGCTTTCGGGACTACAAAGTCCGTGATGGTCAGGAAGTTGGCGACGCCGATAAGTAAATGTTTACCGAAAAATTTAGTAAGAAGACCAGGTGAGCGTGGCAAGTTGTCAAAGCCATTTGTGACGAAGGAGACGATGAACAATTTACGTTTGGAGGTGTTTGAATCGGCGTCTGCGCCCCTTGATCTGTCAACATGATGGCTCAGTACTATTTTGGTCCGATTTGGCGTCAATGTACTACACGCTAAGATGCACATACCATAAAGTCGGTAAAGAATATCTTTATATCGGTAGAAATCGGTAGGTAAATAATCGAAGAAAGTGCACATACCAAAATTATCGGTAATCATGGATTACTAATAATTAACGTTAAATATCACCTAATTTATTGTAAAAAATAGCCTATTTAAAGTAAAAAGTAACTATTTTTATTGGAAAAAATACCGATAACTTTTTACCGATAATTTTAGGTAATCGTAGCTAAGCGTGTACGCAAAAGACACAGAAGCCAAAAAAGATAAAACCTCCGAATTGTCCTGAGGCCCGGTCAATTAAAACTTTTTGGGCCCTTTCCACGGGATATCTACGGGATCACTTTAAGGCAGCAAATTCAATCGAAGAATTTGAAAAAGACTGGACAGATGTGTAGCTAAAATCATTACCAAGGAATCTGTGC